GCTCAGTCTGCAAAGTGGTTGCTCCAGTGATGGTTCGCCTGTCTACTACATTAAGATTTTGCCTTACGTGAATTTTGGAATGCACGAACACACAACAGGCAGTATGATGATGGCTACGGCTTTCCCACATGAACGCCGCATGGTCCCAGCACCTCCCTTGTGAGCCAGCTTTAGCCTCCCATCATCGATTGGCACAGCTGGTCAGTGTGCTTGTGCTGATCGTCTTGCCTTCGAGCCGCTCACGCATATTCTATATTTTCCAATGGCCAATTTCCAGTGCATCATTCGGCGGGGAAAGCGCACAGAACGTGCAGTTTGGGTTCTGCATCCTAAGACGCCAGCATACATGGGTCATGAGATGCAAGTTTGCGGAGTTGTGCGGGCCGTATTTGCATGTTGGGGCTTTCAAAATTTTAAGCCTGTGAAGTGGCATGAAATGGCTGAAATGGGGCGGAGATGATGTAGTTTTGGTATGGTTTTGGTGTCCTGTTGCTAGCTACTGGTAGTTGTCAACCAGTATGAATCAAGATGAAGCTAGCTGCTCCGAAGTTGTGAGGTGTTGGTAGGACTGTATTATCCGAGATGACGCCGAAGTTTTCAACCAAATGGCTTTGCTGAGCCAAGCGCAGCTCAAGAGTTCCAGGATTGTTCAAGGAAAATTGTGCGAAAGCCGCGCGAAAATTGCCCCAAAGCCCCCGTGCAAGCCGTGCGGCAGTGCGCTGGATTCCAGGCCCAGGCCCACTGTTAAAGGAGTTTTTTCAAAATGTTCTTATGTCTAGAAGAATTAGCAGCACATGAGTGAGTTGGCATTGAGGCTCATTTCGCACGGACACACGGTCATGACCGAAATGAGCAGTCGGACAAGGCTGGGATTGTTTGGGATTGCCTGCACTTGCTCAATGCGGCGAGCACTATGGACGCCTGTTGTCTGCACAACGCCGCTCGCCCACGTGTGTGCAGGTGAGCTGGATGCCCCATGTCATCGGCAAGGCGGGCTTGGTCTGGGAGTGTCGGGGCTTCCCTGTTGCGTAGTATGCGCGTGTCCAATCGCAGACATTCTGCTTAGCTCTCCACAGTGTAGGAGCCATCTCAGCGATCAAGCTTTCAGCATCTTGCGTTCACACTTTTTGTCATCTCAAAAGCCATAAGCTGCATCATGCTGCTACTGCTCCGTCTGCCTGCTTGCTGCAGTTGCACAGCACTCTCCCTGCTAGCTTTCGTTGGCCTCTGCCCCTCAGGTAGATCGCCAGATACTTCCAAAATCACAAAAAAATCGAAAGCGCCCTCAGAGCCTTGAAGCAGGAATTGGGCAGCGACATCGAATCAAGGCCCCTGTCGCTTGTTAATCTGTGTTGTTGGAGCTCACACAGATTGATCTCGTCTTTTCATGCTTGAGTTCTGCAATTTTCGCGTGCTGCAGATGATCGAATGTAGCACCCATTAAGCCTCAAAGGCTTATGAAAGAAGCCAAGGTCTCCGAAGTGGATCTCGACGTAGCGCGAAGGTGCCGTTGCGTTTGAAGCAACTCTGTCGCTTTGTAAGGCTCTGGGAAAGAAGGCTTCTCCCATCTTCTCCCATCTTCTCCCTTGAAGCCACTTTCCCGCCAGGATCGGCAGCTGAAGGAGGCCTTCGCTGAGCTGGCGCGAGGCGAAGCTTCCCCCCCCAAAGTCGGAGACAAGCGCCCACAAAGAGAGAAGCGCTCTCAGAGAGAGAAGAGCGGCATGCTGAAAAGTCCTCTGCCTCTTTTGGAGGCTTCAGACCGACTTCCGAGCGATGCTCCGCACCAACGTCGCGAGCAAGCGCCGCATGGAGGCTTGGGGAGAAGCAGAGGCGAGAGCTCGTTCGCGGCAAAGGGAGGCCTCAGCATGCCTCAGGTTCGGCTGCGGGACGGGGCTCTGCCAGTGTCCTAAAGAGCGGTGGAGGAGAGGAGGATAAGAGGAGGGAGCCATGGGAGCACCGAGGCCCTTTGCGCCGCCTGCCGGCGAGGCTCGGAAGACACGGAACACACGAGAGAACCATTCAGAAACAACAGAGGAAGTTCGCCAGGCCAGAGTGAATTGTGAGAGTTTTTGGTCCATGCATTTTTGTCGCATGTTTCCTTGACATCTTTCGGCCTCTCGCCTTTGGAAAGGACGCGCCGTCCCGGGCATCCCTTGGCTTAGAGGAGCCGAATATGGTGCCGCATCTGCTCTCCCATGCGTCTAACATCGGAGTGCCCCCCCCCTTGGACCGTCTTGTAAGACCGTCTGGTTCCTGCAAGCGTGGGTCTCTAGAGAGGAGGAGGAGGCGTCCGAGAAGATCGCGCCCTGCGACCTGGAGTCCGGGCGTTGGCCACAGATCTTGACGCCCTTTTTGGAAGAGAACGATCCAGGTTTCTCCTCTCCCACATATGATATACCCAAACACTCTCCCAGTGTCAGAGAATGTCGCAGAGGCCCGGTCGAAAAGTTCCATAAAGTTCCCCACCAGGTGCCGTGCCGAGGGATGAGGGAGAGCATGCCAAAAGAGCTCTCTTAGAGCTTTTTGTGCTTTCGCAGCGCTTTTTGAGAGATTATTTAATGGCTACCGCCAATGCCGCCGACCCCGACAGGAGGCCGTAGGGTTTAGGGCGCAGGGCCTGGTGTAGGCTCGGAAGGGACACAAACACCCCCTACACTGCGCTTACATATATCCATAGGATCGGCCGCCAATCAGGGTTTAGGGTTGAACTGTCGAGCACACAGCACACACACAGACACACACACACACATATATATATATATATATTTACATATATATATACACACACAGACATATATATATATATGTATATAGACATATACACATAAAGAGAGAGAGATCGTGGGATGGTCGTGGGAGTCCAGGGTCCGGGAGAGTTCAGGGCACCGGCCGTCATTGGCTAATGGCACATATATGGGTTCCGCGGGTCAGGAACCCCGCCAATATGTGCCTGGAGTCAATGTCCTCTGGTGAGAGGCCTTTTGTTTAGGGTTCGAGGGCTTAAGGGCAGTTCCTAAATAGGGTTTAGGGTTTAGGGAACGCTTCTTTCACAAAGCCCGGATTTGTCTGAACAAAAATGGGGGATTCCGAAAATAAGGTACCCATGTATACGGCCCCAAACACTATAATTCAGCTTTTAAAGAACCCCCAACAAGGACCCTTATTTCCGGACCCCCTCCCCTATACATATACACATATATATATATATCCTTCAGCGAGCCATTCACGTTCAGCATCATGAGCAACAGCTGGGCCTTTTTGGGCCCTACGTTCCCGACGCTCGCAAAGCCGGATCCCTTGGCCCTACTGGTTGGCCACAGTTGGCGACAGCCGGAAACCTTCAATTTTAATCCTAAACCCTCAGCCCTAAACCCTCAACCCTAAGCCCTAAACTCCAAACCCTAAGCCCTAAATCCTAAACCCTAAGCCCTAAACCTAAATCCTAAACCCGAACCCCCACCCACCAAAAAAACGATTGGCTCAAAACGGAGCCGAGCCGCATCTTCGGAGTGCGCCCCTCTTCGGCCCTGTACGCTCCTCCAGCTTGGGGCCAAGGGGTGAGGGCGGGGGGGGCAGGCTCCAGTGCATGCCCGGACCCCCCCCCCCTCAGGCCTTGCCCGGACCCCCCCCCACCCCCCCCGCCCCCCCCGCCCCCCCCCCCCCCCCCCCCGCCCACCCCACCGCCCTCACGCCTTGCCTCAACTCACCCACAGTACTCTCTCCAGTACATGCCACCTACCTTGCCCCCCCGCCCTCACCCCCCCCACCTCACCCTTTCCTTGCAGATGAAGTGTTTTAGGGGCTCCAATGCATGCCCGGACCCCCACCCCCCCGCCCCCCGCCACCCCTTAACCTTTCACTTGGAATCAACCTCCCCACACTCCCCCCCCCCCCCGCCCCGGTTCTAGGGGCTCTAGTGCATGCCCGGACCCCCCCCCCCCCGCCCCCCCCGCCCCCCCCCCCCCCCCCCCCGCCCCCCCCCGCCCACCCCGCCCACCACGCCTTGCCCTCTAAAGGTTACTTGGAATCAACCCTAAAACACTTCATTGGCAAGCAAAAGGTTAAGGGTGAGGTGGGGGGCAAGGGGTGAGGGCGGGGGGGCAAGGTTGATTCCAAGTAAAAGGTTAGGGGGGGAGGTGGGCATGCACTGGAGCCCCTAAGAGGGTAAGGGTGAGGTCGAGGGTAAGGGGTGAGGGTGGGGGGGTTTGGGCATGAGGGCAAATGGGTCTTCACTGACGCCTCCCCCGCTAAAGCAGGGGTCGGCGGATATGAGTGATTACAGTATGTGTCATTTTCTGTACTTTCTCTCTTTGATTTCTGAGGTGCGCCAGGCCTGGGGCCAAGGGATCGAGGACGGCGTGACTCGGCCTCGGTGAGCGCGCCCCCCCGCACTTTTACTGTCTTCTTTTGCTCTCTTAATAGCGCGCGCCAAAAAATGCGCGCCTTCCTTTCATAGGTTTAGTGCTTTAATTTAATTCAATCTTTTGTGTCATTTTTCAATCTGCGATGGTAGAGGACGTACCCATGCAAGGAGCGGCCAGTTCGAGTTCACGATGCAGGCGTCCGAAAAGGACGGACGAGAGAAAAGGTTCGGGGGGGGGGGGGGGGCTGGCGAGTTGAGTGAAGCGGGGGTGTGAGGAGGTGTCTGACAGCCAGAAGCCCATCTTGGTTTCTTGCTTTCCGTCCTCCTCATTTTCTGTGCATCTTGCATTCCTCAGAGACATGTTTCGACTCAGAGTGTTCTAGAGTTACCAGGTTTATCGCTCCTCTCTCGTGAAGCCCTTGGACGCTTGAAGCTCCCCAGAATTGAAAGCTTCAAGCTCGAAGCTGCAACGCAGACAACACAGAGGACTGCTTCGGGGAGATGCTTGCCTGGCAGATGCACGCTGCCGGCATCGCGCCACAATCCCTGGACAACAGGCGAACATCTCAAGCCCTCAAGATCCTGCGAAAGCCTTCAATTCAAGATCCTCAGCTTCGAAGGTGCCTGAAATTCACCGATGCCAAAGGGCACAGAAGCAATGGGTAACAAGCAGGACCGGCAGTCGGGATGCCCGAGGCCCTGTGGAGGGCTCCTATGTTGCTTTTTGCAGAGGAGATCGGGAAGCTGCTGTCCAATCCTGGGTCTTATCCGGTGCGGGTCTCCTACTTCCCGCATCCGGCCTTCAAGTTCGCCCTTTCCTCGGCGATCTGTGATATGCGTCACAATGGTTCAGTGGTAATGATCCTTGTGCCAGTCTCGTGCCAGTCTTGTGCCCGTGCTGTGCCCGTGCTGCACGTGTGGGCTCCACTTCCGTGGAGAGGGGGGGCCGGGCTCCGAGGTGCGTCCGGGGAGAGTGCCGGACATCGAAGTCGCGCGCACTCCTTTGAAGCGGCAGTCTGAGTGCGTTGAACTTCGTCGCGATTTTCTGGCGTTTTGTTGCAGCAATAGTCAGGTTCGTCCAAGATGCCCTGGCAGAGCTGGATGGGAACATAGACAACGTCAAGCACACTCTCACCAAAGGAGGACGTTCGAGCGGTACCTCCTGTACCTGGAGGACAGCAGCATCTTCTTTGCTGGGAAAAGGGGGGTAGAGACGCATTGCAGATGGGAAGTGATAACTGAGGACTCCCATGCTGTTTCACACCCCCATCGGAATCCTAAGTACCCTTCTCCTTCTGGGGAATGCTGAATCTGCTTTGGAAGAGAGAGGACCACTACTTTCAGACCGGCGACGACCTACAGGATGCCTTGGAGTGGGAAATGCTGGTGCAGAAGTGACCCCTTAAGGCCCCCCGCTCCCCCCATTCCTCTCTCAACTTTAGAAAGGAGAGGAGGCTGAGTCTGAGTGACGCCCAACAGAGGTACGGCCCGCACATGGAAGGCTACTTCCTGCTCACCAAGAAGACGGGCCCAGGAGCGCAACAACCAGATAAGTTGTCATGTATGTGGGACTGTCTTCGGCACGGTCTCAGTCTGCTTTGTGGTTTGAGTATTTCTGGTGCATGGTGCAGGACTGTCGAAGATACTGCGAGGGGAGGCCAGGAGCTCCCGCCCTCAAAGTTTGAAGGGGGTGCAAAGCTTGGCAAACCAAACGAAGCACATCGAACGACCATGGGCAGATCGATGTGCTGGAATACCTCTTTGGTGGATAGTATGCTTTACCTCTTCCGGCCAAAGCTGGCAGCTCAGTTTCCGTCGATCAGTCGCGCAGCAGGCACGCGTGGCAGTTCGTCCGAGTTGATGCCCGAGGACACTGCCGCCGAGATGCCGGGACAAGAGAGCTGGAACTAGCCCTGCTGCAGAAAAAGGGCAGACAAAGGCCGCCAGCGTCAGGATCATGAAGTTGACGTTCTCCTCACAGAGCCTCATGTCGACGTGAAAATCACGAAGGCGATCTTAGGTCCAGCACTCCCGAGTCAGCATCTCCTGTGGGATGAGCCAACACTACTAGCATTAGCTAAATTGCTAGCAGCTCCGTAGCTCGTAGATAAGCTTAAGATGCCGCATCCAGTCTCGTAATGAACGCGCAAAGACATGATCGGCGACGACAATAAACCCTGGGTTGCTGTGTAAATAACTTTCGGTTGAGATCTTGAAAGCAGCATCTCCCTTCTCCTCGCCACCACGTTTTTGAGGCAAAGTTAGCGAGATTGTCGCAGGAAGCAGTTGAACAGTTGAGGGTCGAGCGGAGCTCATGTTGCACTTGTGTAGGACCTGTTCTTGTTGTACACGGTGGAGCTGCGTTTTGTGTTCGTGCTGCAGCCGTTTTGAACGACTCAGGGCAAGACGAGCCCGCGAATGCTCCACCGACGTGTGCAGGACCACAGCCGTGAAAGGAAGTCATTCCATCTCGACAGCGACATGCACGTTTTGTGTTTCTCAGCCCAAGTTCCAATCAATTTTCAGCGCCGTTGTTGAGTTCTTTGCTTAGCAGTCTCCCACTGGCCAAGCCTAGGCCAAAGGATTGCAAGGCGGGCAGATGTGCAAAAAAATACTCGTCTAAGCGAGCAATAAAACGGGCATCTACAAGTGCAGACCAGTCGGAAGGCCTGAAGACACGCAGATTGCATGGCACGGACTGGCATGTCAGTGTTTCCTCGCCATGGCTGCTTTGCTTCCTTTTGTTGCGCGTGGTTTTCCTTCCCAAGCAGGCCCATAGTCACAACCCAGCGGGGGCAGCAAACCAGAAACAGTCGCCAACTGCCAGGCCGGCGCGGACTCTTCTGGAGAGGATATCTGACAGACATACCTTGTCCAAGGCGAGCCGTGCTCGTGCAGATATATAGGTTGGGAGAATGTGGTTGCAGATCTTCAAGTTCAGAGAGTTGCAGTGTGGGCCTTGATTGCGGGGCCTTTTGTTTCCGTCTGTTGCGAGCGGCGCTGGCGACTTCAGCATGGCTAACTCGATCTTATGCCAGCTTGCGTCAGCTTTGCCCGGGACATTTGATGTGTGCCATGAGTCCGCCACCAAAATGACAGAGCTACGAGAGCTGCTGGCCAATTCGTTCAGGACCCTGTGGAAACGAGAAGCACTTGTGCGCCGTGTGAAGGAGCGCCCCATTGCGAAATAGTAGAACAAGGCGCGCGCCAGTCTTGAGCAGGATTTGCAGTGACCGAAGCTACTGGACATGCCACAGCCCAAAATTAAACTTATGGTGCTGCATGAGTCATGAGTCGAATGCAGTCAGGCAGACATGCAGCCACATCCGCGAGCATTGACGGCCGCGCAAATGCTTCGAAGCAAGGGCCTTGATCACAAATGCACTATGATTTTGGGCATGTTTGTTTCTTGCGCCAGGTAATCGTTGCTGTGCTGTGGATCCTCCGTGAGATTGTGATCGGCATATCCTTACCAAAGTCCCCAAGTGGATTTCATGAGCCTGAACCTGACTTGGTTCCGGCATCTAATTGCTGCGCATGCTGCAATGCAGTGCAAGTGATAAACAGTTGATTCGGCCGACGGGGACCCGCAGCAATTCATTCATTTTTGGTGGTTGTTCAGCTTGCTATCAAGCTCGCTGCTCGCTTGACTTCAGCTCATGCGGCCGTGTTGGCTCAAACTTGTTGTGACTAGTGTCGCGTTCACTTGCTTAGCCGTCCCAGGGCTGGCCTGAGTGGCTTTGGTGGTTTAGGATAGTTTCTCTAAGGTGCACGCATTCACCCCGGCTAACGCTAACATACCTACCTGTGCATCGAGCCTTGTAAGACTCTCGATGTGCCAGAAAGCTTTCATTTTTCTGTAGATCCGCAACAAAACTGCCCGAAGCGTGTTGACCCGTGTTGTGATGTAGACCCCCGCTCAATTGAAAGGCCTCGGAGTATCTGTCTATTGGCCCTAGTAACCGGTACAGGCGTACGTCAAGCCTTTGTCGCCCAAAGCAGGGTGTGGCCTTGCTTCATGCTTGCAAGAGCGAGGATGCAATAAACATATTGCCACAGCATGGGGTGCTTCGATTTTTGTGTTCCTCAAGGACATGGCCCAGAGGGGCGTAGACAGATTTGCATGTTGCCCGATCGTGTCAGTCTGCTGCAGGGATGTAGTCAGAAAGCCCTAGGCCCAAAGTCGCAAATCAAGGAGTTTTCGGCTGGCTGCGTCCACAGCCACGGGAAGACGCAGACTCCGGGCGGTCCGGGACTGAGTGAATTCTTTTTGATTTCGATGATGCCAATGTGAGCGCATGCGCGCGCCATGTCGGTATGCTTTGCGCTTCAGATGAAGGTGTCCCCAATTCACCGCACGAACCGTGTCTGAAAGCTGTTGCCGCGTAGTATCAGGGGCCAAAGCCATTGTTGCAATAGCTTCGACCAAAGCTAACCTGACATCATGCCCAATGCTGCTGCTGCTGGTCCATAGCACCCATCAGGGAGGCTACCGAACCGGCCCTACCGCACAGGGATGTGGGCAACAAAGTACCCGTGAGAGATTTCATGTGTCGAGCTTCAGCATATATATCTTACAAATTGCGAGTATGTACGGGACGTTGCTTAGCTGTAGTTGCACGTACGTTGACCCACTGTCATCATGGAAACGGGCATAAGTCGTTTTTTTGCACGAGGTCGGTGCGGGGCTAACGCCACTCCCCACGGGGGCGCTTCCTGAACACAGGAAGGGCGGGATGCAAGTAAGAGGCGAAGGCACACTCGAACGTCGTCGGCGTTAGGACTCCACCTTTCCTTGGGACTCGGGGAGAACCGTCCTTCCGACTTCGTTGTGCGCTTCGTCTCGGAGCGGCCTATGTCGATGGGACACGTCGTTCATTTCCTTAGCCTTATAGGGTCCTATCGCACGCTAGCCAACTATTTCGCAGCCTCGCGGGCGCACATATCCACAGAAGATACAGAACACCTGAAACTCGGTCCATCCCAGTATTTATTGCTCACACAGCAAGGAACCTGCACCGAGTTGAATGACCACACTAACCAACGAGACAGAGATCATGGCGGGCAACAAACAAAAGGGACGTTCAGCGCTAACCGAAGCCATATGCCACAACATACATAACGAACGAAAATGTATACAACGAGCATTTCCACCGCTTTTCCGCCCGCGCGTCCTCCGGCGCGACAGCAGGCGAGCGTCCTCTGGCGCAAAGCGTCCCTTGGCGCATCACACGACCACACAGACGCGCGCGTACACGACCCCCCTTTGCACACATACACAAGCCCACACCCCGATGGCCGAAGCCTATGATGACGATCACATGGGACAATCCTGACCGGGCCGCCTGGTTTTTGATCTCAAGCACCATGGTCATCGCGGCTCAACGCAGGCACGACTCCATCGAGAGTGTCGGTGTCGGTCACGCCGTGCCCCCTGAGGCATTGATCTCCTCCGATCGAAGAGGCATCGATTTCTTGAATCAATGCGTCCGCGTTGTACTGGTGGGATTCAGCGTTCGCGACCCCATCTGGGACAGGCTAAACACGGAGGAACGACTGAAAGATTCCTTATCCGAAGCGATCCCGGGAATTCAGAAGTTTTTGCGGGAGGGGCTGCGGACAGCATGGTTGCAACCTCTTTTGCTGGGGCGGGCGGCGACACAAGTGCACGCCCAGGTAACTCAGTTCCTGATTGCCGGACAACGTGAGTCCGCGAGCGGAGCACTGCGAACATCCTTTTCAGTCGGCTTGAGGAGACGTGGTGAGTGTGCTCACTAACTCGTTTGGCTTCCGCACTTGTATTCGAGTCGGCGTTTCGTGTCCGAAGTATACGAGAGCAGTCAATGATCAGGGTCTGGAGCCGCTCACGTTCTGTCGAGTTCATCGGTCAACGCGGTATCTACATCGCGGGTTTCCAGGGGGCACCCACGTGGAGGTTTGATGCATGCCGGGAACAGTTGACCATCTGTTCACCCCATCGAGTGTCTGAGATGGGTGTGCTCAGACGCGCGCGTGATGCATGTGAAGCAAGACGACTACCTGCGCCTCTTCTCTCACCCGCCTCGACGGGCCCCTCCTGCCCAATGTGAAATAGGCTTATCGACTCCGTCCCCCCGCTCCTAAAATCCCGCCTTCCCTTTCCCCTACTGGCAGGCAGCAGCATTCGCAGAAACCACGCACCTTCAGCTGGTGCGAGGCCATTTTGTGTCAGCGTGGTTCTTGCCCATCCGTTTATTGAGCTGGCACTTTTCAGGCCGTACAACTCGTCCCTGAGCTGGCTCCGGCCCCAGCCACACAGCAAGTGTTGGAGTATTTGCTGCTGCGTCATGGTCTAGCGCGTGACAGGCGAACATGACGAGGCATGAGCTTGACGTTGTCTAGCCCCCGAAAACGGGCGAGCTACCAAGCCAGTGGTTGGCAATCTGCCGGTCTCACGTATTGAGGTCAACAGCCTCCTTGCGTTGAGCGACAGCGAGTTTTCAGCAGTGGCTACGCGAGTGCAGGACAGGATGTGTAGCATTGCATGGCCTTAATGGGTTTTCGGCTGTCCGCGTGCGATTTCGTGTTTTTGCAGGAAGCTTTCATCTTCCCCAAAGTGGGCATCGAGGAGTTGGGGCGGCAGATTTGCCACCGACGTCATCAAAGTCATCATCCATCTTTCCCGTCCTATTGCCAAGGCGAAGCGTCTACCAGGTCCTTGGACGACTAGGTGAAGGAGGATTTGGATGCGTCCATTCCTCGGTCGCAGGTAGGGAGCCCTGTGACACGATGCTGTTTTTGAGGTTTGGAGGTGTGCTCAAGGCAGTCAACGCACCAGTCAACGCAAAGAGGCATGGCAGCATGACATGGCCTGAACAGAAGGAGGATCGTTTTGCCTGGCATGCGAGGTCGCCATCAAAGTCCTGTCCTTG